GAACAAGTGCTGCAGCACAGGGCTGGCACTGCCCCTGGGGCTCATCTCCCTGTGCTTTGTTACTGGCTCTGGATGGTGGCCAGGATGTGCTGCGAGTTGCCATGCTCTGGGAAGGCAGAGCTGAGCGGTGATGGGATCTTTCCATGTGGGACAGAGGGAGATCAGGGCTGCCCCAGAGGGCTGTGCTCCTGCAGGAGCCCCACACAGGGCAGGTGGGCTGGCTGCCTTTGGAAGAGCAAACCTTTTTCTTTACATCCCCAGTGAAGCTAAAAGGAGCACGGCCCAGTTTGTGGCTTTGTAGGTCATGGGAGGAGGGGAGCTCTGCAGCGCTCGGTGTGCTGGGGATGCTGCTTTGCTCTGCATGGGAGCAGCGTGTGAGCCTCGTGCAGGCTGTGTGCCTGCTTTTAGGGAAGAAAATGGAGAGGAAGATGACTCCCCAGCTGCCCCAGTATTGTGATTGGAAGCAGCATATCATAATAGTTAATAATGCTGGGTAGAGATATTACTCAGTAAGTACTGACATCCTGGAGAGATGCAGTGGCTGTTTGGGTTCTGCTCAGCTCCTCAGTGCACCGAGGTCCCCGGGGCAGCAGCAGCACCAGGGCACTGCAGCAGCACAGTCCCGGCCTGCCAGGAACCATTGCTGGGGGATTTGGATGCTGTGCTCAGCCCCGGGGGGAGCTCCAAGCACTGCCTGCTGGGCACTGACAGCAATGTCACGGTGTCCCCTGCCCCGTGCTTGATGGCAGCCTTCCCGAGCAGAGTGAACAGCCTCTTGGTATGTTTCCCAATTTAGTCACGTCCTACCAGCTGTAACTGAGCCAGAGTAAACAGGAAAATCGGGTTGCTTGATGTCACTGCACTTCCTCGGAGTGCCAGGCCCGCCTCTGGCTCCCATCCCTGCTGGGTCCCCCGCACAGCAGGAACGTGATTGCAGCACCAGCACGGGGCTGGGGCCCACGCCACGCATGCCAGGTGGTGCAGCAGCCCCAGCACTGCAGGTTCTGCAGGGGCATCCCCAGCCCATGGGATGGGAACTACTCCAGGCTGTGTCCCAGCCTCCAGGCATGCAGGTGGGGCTCTGCGATGGGCTGAGGGCACAGCAGCTGTGCCAGACACCAACGGGATGCACTGAGCTGCTCTCCCATCCAGGCACTGGGGAGAGGAGGTGAGGGCATGCAGCCAAGGCAGCTCTGCAGTGCTGTAACCTGCTTGCTTTCTCCTTTTGCACAGGTTTGGTGGGGTAGGACAGTTTCCAGGGTGCACTGCTGAGAACTGGCATTCCTACCTCTGGCAGAACCGCTGAGCTCCTTGAGGCAAGGAAGAGGCCGGGTAAGCTCTCAGCCATTGAGCCTGTCCCACCTCACGATGCAATTTAGAGCCACCAGGCAGCGTTCAACCCTGGGTTTGTAGCCCAGCTCAGGGCCTGCCCAGCTTTGTGCCCAAGGCTTTGTATTGCCCTTGATGGGGCTGAGGCTAATGCTGCAGTGTCACCAAGCCTCTCAGTCAGCTCCCAGCCGGCACTCCATAGCTCCCAAGGCGTGCTGTCCACTAACAGTGCTTCTTTGCAGGGCAGCCCTGAGCCATGTCCAACGACCCTCCACCACCCTACCCGGGAGGCCCCTCAGCACCACCGATAGAGGAGAAGCACGGCCCACCCCCTGCAACAGGTACTGAGGGTCCCAGCTGCCAGCAGGGTGCCTCTGCTGAGCAGGCAGGAGCAGGGGGAGCTCCGCTTGCTGCTGTGTGTGAATCTGGGCTTCTTTAGGCATGCTGCCTTGGGGCAGTGCCTGATGGGCACTTCCCTGTGCCCTCTGTCGTGTCCCCACAGTTGCCACAAACCCGCCCTGTGTGCTTTATTCCCCTTCCTTGCAGTCCCTCTTTCTTGTGCTGTGTTCTCTTTCTCTAAAGGGGCCCTGGATTGCTCAGCCAAGCCCCCACTGTCTGCTGCCTCCTGCCCTGGCTGCTCACTCTGTGTTTCCTTTCAGATGGCATCTCCCCAGCTATGGTGCAGCCCCAGGGGGCTCCCATCCCTCCTCCTGAATTTGGGCCTCCCCCATATGAGCCTCCACAGCCGGGCTTCGTGCCCCCACACATGCCCACAGACAGCTCTGGGCCCTACATGCCACCTGGTGAGTGTGGGGAGGAGCTGTGGGCCACAGGATGGTGCTGGGTGAGGGAAGGCAATGAATGGGGGCTGGGCAGGAGGGGGGCACAGTGCCTGCAGCGAGCAGCCTGCAGTAGGGCTGCCCACACATAACTGCAGTCATGGTACGGCAGCAGGGCACGGTCCTTGGAGACGTGGCCTCTCTTACTTCATGCAAAGACACATCCATGCCTGTTTCTGTTTCCCAGCAGGTTATTATCCACCCCCAGGCCCTCACCCTCCCATGGGCTACTATCCTGCCCCAGGCCACTACCTATCGCCTGGTGGCCACACGGCTACGGTGCTCGTCCCTTCAGGGACTGCCACCACAGTGACCGTGCTGCAGGGCGAGATCTTCCAGGGCGCCCCGGTGCAGACAGTGTGTCCCCACTGCCAGCAAGCTATCACCACCAAGATCACCTATGAGATTGGGCTCATGAGCTTCCTGCTGGGCTTCTTCTGCTGCTTCGTGGGGTAGGTACTGCCAGCAGCCCCACCGCAGTGGTGCTTACTGTGCATTTCTCCTGGTGGCCCCAATGCCAGTGGCTGTGGCCGAGCTGTTGGACAGTTCACAGGTTTGTGGGGTGGCAGTGTTTGGAGCCCTGGGCTCCTGCCAGCTGTGGGGAAGCTGCCTTCCTCAAAAACATTCTGTAAAGCCACCAGCATTAAAGAGGCTGCGTGCCCTGTGCCCAGACCTGGGGGGTGCTGCCATGGCTGTCTCACAGCAGCAAGTTCTCACCCCTTCTCCAGACCAAAGAGCAAACCCCATGCGCGGCCCCTTGCCTGCTTTCCCTCCCCAACCCACAGCTAGGAGCCAGAGCTCACAGCACTCTGCATCTTCCTGTGCTCCAGGTGCGATCTCTGCTGCTGCCTCATCCCCTGCCTATTTGATGACTTCAAGGATGTGACCCACACGTGTCCCAACTGCAAGGCCTATATCTACACGTACAAGCGCATGTGCTAACAGCACCCCGGAAGCCTGAGCCACTGGAATGACACCGGCCCCTCTCCCACTGCCGTCCTAATCCATGCGTGTGCAGCACTCCTTTGCTTACCCTTGGTGGTGTGTATGTGTGTCCCTCCCCTCCCTTCTGCTCCAGGCTGTGACTGCCTTCCCCAAGCTCTGCTCCTTGCTGTGAACGGTCAGACTGGGGACGTTGTGTGGATGCACAGGGGATGAGAGGCTGAGCCCCAGGTGCTGCGTGCAAGGCTCCCTCTGACAGCTGCTCTGCAGCACAGAGGAGCAGGGCTGTCATTTGGCACCCCATTGCTCCAGGACATCAGCACAGCTCCTCTTGCCTGGAGCAAGCTAGGAAGGAGCAGCAGCTGCTGGAGTGTCCACCCCTCACTGCAGCCCACTGGACATGGGGGGAGCATGGATATTGCTGTTCTGAGGGGATGGGGGAAGCAAGAGCAACTGGCAGAGCACACTGCAGATGCAGCATGGCCACTGCATTCAATTGCAGTCCTTTTAAGAAGTGGCCTGGTGGAAGTTTGGCATTGAGGAGACAAAGCAGTCAGTGCCTGGTTCCACCTGTTTCAGGGCCTTCTCCAGCCAGGTCAGTAGAGCCCATAGGCAACATGTCCCAGGTAGAGGCACACAGAGCTGCCTTCAAGGCACAGCCAGGGAAAGGGCTGCAGCACAGCACCCTCAATCAGCCCATCCATCCTGGTAAGGAAGCCCCAGTGCCTGGTGTCCACAGCTGCTCCAGCTGCATGCCCCTCCTCCCAGCCCTGCTGCAGGTGTTTCAGGGAAGGGAAGCCCCTGGCTGTTTCACACCCACCTGGTAAGCTATTAGCAGAAGTGCATCCAGCATGTTGCTACCTGCCCTGGCGCTGTAGAATAGGAGAATTTGTTACCTGGCTGCAGCTGGCTCCCAGCTCTGGAGCAGATCCCTACCCACCTGCTGCAGAGCTGCACCCCATCCCAAGCCCAGCAAGGTCTGTGGGCACCACAGCAGCACCCACCCTGCTGTCACCACAGGTGTATCCTGTGGGGTTCCTTGTTGCATGTGGGTGTAGGGGTTCACTTTTAGCTCACTTTACATGGGGCAGAAAGATGGGACAAGCAGCGATACAAGCTGCCAGCAGCACTGTGACAGACAAGGGCAGGAGGACCTGAGAGTCAGTCTCTGTGTGCCACACCTCATGCTGGTTTCCTCTGCTCTCACCTCCTGCAGTCGGGGCAGCAGAGGTGTGCAGCCCCCAGAGCTGAGCAGAGGGGCTTCTCAGGGAGCATGTCTGCAAACAGCCTGGCCTGCACAGGCAGCTGCTGTTTGCTCAGAGGTGGAACTGTGACTCTAGTCCCAGTATTTGTATGTAAATAAACGTAAGACCCTGAGCTCAGTGTACGTCTTTTCTTTACCCCTCTGCAAACAAATACACAGATCTACCCCAAGTTAGCTAAGCGAGGGTTGTATGAGTGGGGGAAAAATCATGGCAGCATCAATCACTGGAGGAAGAGCAGCAGTTTCCTACCCAAGCTCAGGGCGTTAGGGGCAGTGTTGGGCCTGGCCCAAGTAGGGAACCTCCATTTGCACAACGCTGGGCTGCATTCCAGGCTTCCCCAGCTCCACACTCAGGTATCCCTTCTTCAGTCCAACTGCTCACCAAAGACAGCACTGGAAGGCAGAGGGGTTCCTGGGCTACCAAGTCACCTCCGCACAGGAGCTAGGAAGAACTCAAGAGGCAGCAGTGAGAGGGTGGACTGTAAGGACAGGAGGACCTCTGGATGCGCACGAGTCAGAAAACTAAGTGGGTAAGTCTTTATCCACCCTGCTTCTCCGCAGAGACCTCCTCCCCAGCCTTCCATATGCCCCCCCTCGACCTAAACTCCTACAGATGGCCCTCTGACTTTCCCCAGCTATAGCACAGCAGCTTTTTATTCCAATCAAGGCTTCAGCAAAGACAAATCGATGTTGCACAATACACATTTGACACCTTCATACCAGCAACCCACACATTTGGTCCCCTCACCCAGTGAGCTCCATCCAACACGAGTTATGCTTGGTCCCTGGGTCACTCCTTTGAGCTAACGGACCCACAGCATAGCCACCAGAGCATGACAAATGTTTGTTTCTCAGGGTAGGAAACTTGAGTACTCTTCTCAGAGAAGACCGATGACACATTCTTGGGTTGCAGCCCAGGGCAGGAAATTCCCTCCAAAGACTGCTCCAGCCAAAGAGATGAAAAGCCAAGCATGTGAAGGCTTTGCCACTACAGGACAAGACATCTCTAGCTTTAAAAGCTGCTCCAGCCAGCATAGAGTAGTGTTGAACTGGAATCTTCACATCTTCTTACCAGATCAGTTCTGTACACTAGTTAGCTAAAGACATTGCATTACAGTGCTTGCATTATTGGTGTGCAAGAAGTCTTGGATAGTCCCCCTGGGTTTTTACCCTCTCCCTGCTTTATTTCCCTGCAGTCAACTCCACCAGCGGCAAGGGAGTAGTTCAAACAAGGGCAGGGTGTGTCTCTACCCTCACCACCACTTAGGGCCAGGCACCAGGCTTGGCATCACATCACATACCACGCTGCAGCTCCTGCTGCCACAGCAACACAAGCCGCCAGGATCAGTTGCACGATGGGTTGCTTTGCCAAGGCCACAACAGTGTGATAGGGACAACCAGCTGCTGCATTGCCTGCTAGAATAAAGAAAGCCTTGTTAGTGCTGCAAGTCCTCTGCCACATTCACATGGCAGTCCTCGCATCACCCCAAGCCTACCCAGCTTGTCTGCATAGTAAGGGCATTTACGTATGTCTCCTTTCCCATCGTGGACTGGAACACCTCCATCTTGGGCTTCTTCCACCAGCGACCTGCCGATCTTGTCCAGTTCATCAAATACCTGCAAGCAGGCACAGTAAGCATGGAGTGAGCAAAACCAGACAGCTGCCATACAGACCCATGGAGAATGCAGAGAACTGGCAAGAGCTGCTTCTACCTGCCTCCACCCAGATCCCAAATACAGCATTTGATACTCATTTCAGAGTGCCTTGCAGGCAGATAAGGTGTAACCACATCTGGCATGCACTACAGCTCTGAGAAGGCACAGCCAATACCAAAACCATCAGGTTACCTGCTACACGTGGGAGTATGGGGCAAAGAGCCCTCCCCTCCCTGCTGCCAGACCCTCTCTGGGATTACTGCTCCCGTTTGTGCAGTCCCTTCTAGCTCTGCTGGAGGGCTTCTGTAAGGACCCTGATGAAGGAGCTTACCATATCCCACCTCACTTCAGATCAGCTGAGACCAGTGACATACTCCAAGCAGAGGTTACAGCTCACATCTGGTAACTATGCCTATGTTCATCCCCTGCTGAAGCTCAGTCATGTTTTATAACTGGCAAACACTTTGGGCAGTAACAGGGACCCACAGGGTTACAAACATTTCTGACCACCCCACAGGTGAGACGTGATGCACTGCACTCAGACTGAGTAAAGCCATCTCAGAGAGCTCTGTTCCCACCTCTACTTCAAAGCCACACAAGTTCATGGAAATCTTGCAGTGAAGTCATCTCAGCTCAGGCTCAAAGATTCCGTTGGAGTGTATGACATGAATTCCTGCCCAATACCAACCTCAACTCCTTAAACTAGTGAAAGATCTATTCAGACTAGGATCCCAAGCAGCAAAGGCAGAATCTCCTTTCCACCAGAATCCCTTCATCTGGTCTCTCAGACAAACCACTATGCATAAGGACACAAGGAATTTAGTACCTCCATGTTAAATCTGAAAGCTCTGTTGGCCTCTTCCACAATCCGTTCCTTGCAGTTCTTGTCCAAGTCTAGAGCATTCAGCCTTGCTCTGTACAGCTGCTTGAACTTCTGTGCATTGGAAATGTTTTCAAATGTGTAGAACTGGATCCCTTCCTCAGTAATGGGCAACTTGAGGGCCCTCTGGGCTACCTTCTTCAGCACTTGGCCACCTGAGAGGTCCCCCATGTAGCGTGTGTAAGCATGAGCCACTAGCAACTCAGGCTCATGCTGTCCCACATGATGGATTCTGTCCACATATTGCCGAGTTGCATCTGAACACTGTATTTTCTCTTTCCAGTCTTCTCCATAGAAATATTTCATGTCTTTGATCAATGCTTCTTTCCGGTGAAGCTCTAGAGGGAAATATAGAGGAGCAAACACTGGGTTGTCCTTATTGCGATCCATTTCTTCTTCCAGAGCACAGTATGTGAAGTAAAGTGCTGTGGTAGCCAGCTGTGGACAAAGCACAGTGAACATAAGTTGTTTGCTCTATTGCAGATCGCACCTTGTGACTACTCCATCCCTTCATGGAACTGGGCTACACAAGGAAACCCCAGGCTTGACACAAAACCAGCCTGGAGAGCCTGTACTAGGCACAGGGACTAGCTTCATCCTAAAGGTATCATTCACACCAACAGCCAAAGACTGACTGTGCCAAGACAGTACCCCACATCATCTCTTCTGCTCAGAACAGAGAACACTGACCTGAAAAAGCCCGCACGGATTTTGCTCCATAAGCACAGAGCTTTTGCCACTGGTACACGTGCTGCAGCTGTCCCAAGCAGCCAGAAAGCCAGCACTTCCATCTAAGTGAAATTCTTCTGGGCCAGCATGCTCCTCGCCATCCCGAGTTCCAGCTGTTAGACACACTGAGCAGGACAGGGCCCTCCAGTAGTTGTGGCCATTCAGCCATGCCGTCTAGAAATCAGTTTCCCCCCCGCCCCCCATCTACCCCTACACATGGGCCTGTGATGTTCTGCCTCAGCAAGTCCCCAGCTATAGTCATCAAGTATAACAAAGTTCCTCTGCCAAGGCAGCAGAGCCACACTCACCTTGAAGAGCCCCTTCTTGATCCGTCCTTTCAGGAAGTCTTTGACAAACTGAGTATTCTCTGCACGGTCGTGGGATTCCTTAGTCCCCTCCTTCAGCAGCTCTGAAAGGTCAGTAGGGCTGCAGGCAAGCAGGGAGAGCTCCTTTCACTCCACTTCCACATACAGTCATGAGTTTGTCCTCGCTGAGTTTGGAAGGACCCTCCAGCCTCGCCATCCCAGGCTTAGTCTGGAGCAGGTTCACAACAGGGATCCTTTGGTCCAGCCCTGCTGGCTGGAACCACCATCACCCCCAGAAAGTGTCAGGATGGCAGCAGTCAGGGCTCCCACCTGAGCTAGAATTCACCCAGGAGTCCTGGTGCTGAGCAGGGGCTTTGACCCAGAATGCTGGAGAAATTGTGAAGGATTCTCAATTCCTTGCACTGGTGCTTTCACTCCCAACCCTGAGTCAAAACACTAAAGGAGACCCTGAGCATATCAAGGGCAACTACCAGGACAGGATAAAGAGCAGTAGGGCCTTGCTAGTATATTTCTGGGTCTCTCTGCAGAAGAAGACAGCCTTGAGTAGGAGTGGATGGACACACACAGGCAGAACTTGAGCTTTTCTGACTGGGGCACCAAGGGTATTGCATTAATCATCTCAGAATGGCATGGGTTGAAAAGGACCTCAAAGATCATCTCATTCCAACCCCCTGCTATGTGCAGGGTCGCCAACCAGCAGACCAGGATGCCCAGAGCCACATCCAGCCTGGCCTTGAATGCCTCCAGGGATGGGGCATCCACAACCTCTCCGAGCAATCACTGGAGAAAAGATGAGAACCACTGACAAAACAGGGCAGGAACAATCTTTAAAAAGTATTCATCCTGAAATATGCTGTCTTTGCATGTTTCCACAAGCTCTCCTTCTAAAAAAACTTATGATCTTGGATCACAGCTACTGCACATACCTGGAATTCAGTAGTTATCAACACCTACACCCACAAAATGATGCCACAGTGCACCTTACCCTGTTTTTATGGCTGGTTTGCTACAGACAGCACGTTTATGTTAGCTGTAAAAAAAGACATTTTGAACGCTCCGTACTCATGCAAGTAACAGCTTAGACAAGACCTGAACACAACAGGAGAGCCAGGGAGCATCAACCTCTCATGAAGCTGAGCCTGTCAAGTCAGAGAGCAATCAATCAGCTCACTTCAGTATTCTGGAACCACCCTACTCACCCTTCTCATTTTCATATAAGGAAAATTTTCCTTATAAAGTACAATTTAGAATGCTTTGAGTGCAGCTATTTGTTGTTTGGAGGGATAACCAAAAATTTTGTGTACCTTTGAAGAAGTTCTGCAGAACTTGCTCTGTCTACATCAGCTTACAAGAACAGCCTTTGCGCCTTTGCATTTGTTCCTACTCTGTAGTAATGTACACCCTCAACTGCAGAGCAGCCTCAGTCCTGGCTGGACTGGTTTTCAGCTGGAGAACACCACAGATGAGCAAGTAGATCACTGAACTCGAGTTTGATATGCCCTGCCTTGCCCAAACCCAGCTCTGTGCCACATTACCAGACAATGCCAGCAGCACTCACCTGACATTGTCATCTTCCATTTCCTCATAGCGTAAGCTTTCCCCTTCATCTCCTCCTTCTGAATTCTCCATAACTGATGGCATTGCTGGTCTGTTCTACAGATCGGAGACACTGAAAGGCAAGATTAGAGAGGGATTTTAGAGGGAAGCTGCCTTAACAAAAGCAATAATGGGGAGGAAACACAGTCCAGCAGGGAGCCTTGCAGCTGCACCACCATGCGGGGTGGTGAGGAGCAGCCACCAGATGTTTTCACAAGAGCCTTCCCTGCAACAGAGAAGACTGTTCCAAAGCAGAGGTAGATCTTCTTTCTCATGTGATGCAGCAGCATGCACAAGAAGTACCCAGAGCCAGGAGCAAGATACTTGGCTTATACCAGCTGAACGCTCTGGCTTGGCCATAAATCCAGGCATCCCATTTATAAAATGGAGCTGTAATCAGCTTTGTGCTGATTACTCCCCCAAATTACAGGCAGCCTTGCCAGATGAGCAAGGAGCTAAGCTTCCTCCTGGCTCTTCAGCAAACCAGAGCTATAAGGGAGTCAGCTCTCCTCCCAACACTGAGTTCAGGCCTCCCTGATGGGCAGCATCTGGGGACAGGAGGAGAGCAGACCAGATAAACAAGTGAGAGCAAGCCAAGCAAGCTCACACAGAGCCTAAGCTGGCAGAACAGTTGGTGGCTCCACTCTCACGAGATGCAAACACAAAGCATGCTAGTTATAAATTAACTGCCCTCCAGTTCCTCACCCACTTCTAAGCCTCTCAGGTGCCCTGGACACCCTGCAGAGCTCTGTCCCACAGAGCAGCTGGGGCTGATGACACATCCCCAGGTGTGGTATAGCACAGCACACAGCTGGGGCACATTACCAGGGTGAAATCTCCACCTGCGCTCAGACAGCCCTCCTGCTCACCCTGACAGCCTGGCTCAGGAGGCAGCACAGATCAGGACCATGCAGGACTAAAATGCACTGCTCTGTGACATGAGGTAGCCCTGTGCAGTAGGAAAAGTCGTGTGAGGTAAGAGTCCCACAGCCCCACTGCCCTCCTACCCTTGGAAGGAGTTAACATGTAAAAAATCATTTAAGGACCAAGTGCTCTCGGACTTGCACCTCCCATGTCTTTTTTGGGGAAGCTCAGCTTGTGATGCTCATCTCCATAACAAAACAGCAATGAAGCCAGTCCTTTTAGCACGCTTTGAAGACAATACATGTACAGGAAAAGAAGGAAGTTTAATTTCTCCCAATACAGTCTCTAGTACAGACACCTCCTTGATGAGCCATGAATTGGAGACAAGGCAGCACCAATCAAATCTGCACCTTTTGCAGTATGATGACACCGTAGGAGAACTCAGAGGAGAGGAAAATAAAAACATTTTAACTCTCCTGTCACTGCAAACCCTCAGCAACTGAAATCCCACAACGCAGTCACTGGCCAAAGCAATGTTCTCCTGGAGCACTCACTCCTCTGAAAGAGGCAGTGTCCTACGCATACAGGGGGAGCTCCCAGCAGCTGCCTGCTGGTGCTTCAGGGGTTGGAGCATTGCTTCATTTGCTATGAAGCTCCTGGCTGACAGTCAGAGTAAACACAGTCCCCAGCAGCCTGCCTGGGAGGGATCCAGCAGCCACAGGACAGCAGGGCTGGAGAAGATTTGGTACAGAACAGCTCAGCGCTCCAAATATTTCTTTTCCAATAACAGCACTCAGTCCCTCCTGTAAAATATCCCCACCTCGTCTAGCCAGCAGTTTGTTTTCCCCTACACACAACTGCACAGCAAGCTTCACACTCAACATGCATGGCTGTTGTTCTCAGATACTCAACGTGAATAATTCTATGCCTTCTGAAGGAATCCAAGAGGCACTGCTGCAGTACGGAAGCAAGACTGGAAGTCCTGGCTTCGCTCAGACACTCTCATCAGCTCAGTAGCCGACAGAACAACCACTCAATACAGAGCTCATCTCCGCTATTCGACCAGCACACGACTCCAAATGCACACAGCTAGGATCCTCGCTTTAAAGCAGCAGAGCACGACTGCACCTACCCAAACATCTCTGAAGGTGGGTTGGGGGGGGACAGACCCCAGAACTCCAGGCTTGAGGTCATGACTAAATAACTTGGGGCAGCTTCACCCCTCCTCCTCCTGCTGGGGAGGGCAGCTGGAAACAGAGACCCACGGCACAAACAGCTGCGTTACCAGATCCCACCTGGATTTAAGGCTCCACCTGGAGCTGGGTCGTATTCCGGGCCCAAGCAAACACCACTTCTGTCTCCCAGAGCCGCAGTCCAGCAGGTCAGCGCACTGACTGAGGAAGGAAGGAAGGAAGGAAGGAAGGAAGCACCTGCTGAGACCACAGGTCAGCTGTGCAGCCGTGCCGTTCAGCAGGCAGCCCTCACGGGTCGCGTCCTGTCGGGCAGCGCAGTGCGACACACGCGGATAGAAGAGCCTCGCTCCGGGCCGAGCAGCAGCACTTACGGCCGACGGACGAAACGCAGCAGCGCGTGGAGCGGTGAGGCCCGAACGAGGCGCCCGTCTCACCCGACAGCACAGCACAGCAGCAGCGCCTCCGCAGCCGCCACCGTCCCGACGAAGGCAGCGCGGTGCGGCCCCACGACCGCTCCGCCACCGCCAGCCCGGCCCGCAGGCCCGGTACCCAGACAGCGCTAGAGAAGGGGCCGGCAGACACCGCGAGCGCCCCTGGGCACCGCGACGCGCCCTGAGGCCTCAGCCCGGCCGCGCCCCGGGTCACCGCTACCTCAGCGCGGCCCCGGCCCGGCCGCGTTGCCATGGAGACGCGCCGCGCACTCACCCGCCGCCGCCGCCCGCTCGCGCTGTGCCCCGCGGCGCAAGACAAAGGCTCGGCGCCGCCGGCCCGCATTTACCCCGCGAGAGAGAGCTGTGATTGGAGGAGGCGGCTGACGTCACAGCGGGGGCTCGCGCTTCCGCTCTGCCCCACCTCGTCGGCAGCCAATGGCGACATCGGACGTCACGGCAAGCCCCGCCCCCGGTTTGACGCTGCGCAGGCGCGGACGGCGGCGCGCCCTCCGACCCGCGCGGCCGATCGGCTGAGCACGTGACCGCACGGCACCGAGTTCGCGTCCGGAGCTGATCCGGCTGCTCCGCTGCGAGATGAAACGTAAGCGAGGATGGCAGGAGCAAAGCCCAGGCTACACGGTGGGGGCTAAAGATGCACGGCGAAAATGCTTTTTAATGAAGGGTTTTATTTATAAGTTTTAGAAATAATTAAACCTCATTAACGTACGATTTAAATGCTTATTCACATTCGCTCGACTCTCACATCTTCAAAGCTGAAAGTCGGGGACGCCCTCAGGGAGCGCCGTGCGGCTGCTCCGCCCACAGCCCGGCGAAGGGACGGCCCCAAAAGGAGCCCCATGCAGAGCCCAAAGCAGCCCGCAGGCTACGGACGGACAGACGGACACTCAGACCGACTGCTCTGTGACCCGGCACACCGTCAGACACAGCCATGGTTGGCAGCAGCACGGGGCTTTGGGCTTCTCCATGCTACGGGCACAGCACTCAGACTGGAGAAGGTCAATCAGAGCCACGGAAGAAAGCAGCTTTTCTTTACCCAAATCAGAGCTTTGCAGGCTCTGAGATCCCTCCCTCTGTCGGTTCGGAGAGGGGAGGAGAGGGGAGGGAAGGAGAGGGGAAGGAGAGGGAGAGAAGGAGAGGGAGAGGAGGGGAGGGGAGGGGAGAGGTGGGGAGGGGAAATAGAGGAGAGGAGAGGCAGCGTATTTCCCTTCCTCTAAAGTACACCGATATTCTGCCCTTCTCAAATGACTCCCTCCTCTGCCAAGAGCTCTCCCACCTCCTTCCCCCACCTCCACTTCAGCTCTTTGCAGCCTTCCTCCACCTCTACCTTTCAGGATTTGTTCTCTTAAAAAGAAACCGCTTTCACCCCCCACAAGCAGCACATTCAATAGCAAAAGGAGAGAGAGAGAGAGACGCTGGGCTCTGCTCCCAGGGATGGCAGCAAGCATCGGGCCAAACCACCGCACGCCCTCAGTCCTCCTAGGGCTCCCCGGCCCGGTGGATGTGCTGGTGCCGGAGCAGCGCGGAGCTGACGGTGAAGCCCTTCCCGCAGTCAGCACAGCTGTAGGGCCGCTCCCCGCTGTGGATGCGGCGGTGCTGGATGAGGTGGGCGCTCTGCCGAAAGCTGTCCCCGCAGTCGGAGCAGGCGTAGGGCCTCTCCCCGGTGTGGACCCTGCGGTGACGGAGCAGGGCCGACCTCCACAAGAAGCTCTTCCCGCACTCCGCACACTCGAAGGGCCGCTCCCCGGTGTGGAAGCGGCGGTGCTGGATGAGGTGAGAGCTCACCGTGAAGCTCTTCCCGCACTCGCTGCAGCCGTAAGGGCGCTCGCCCAGGTGGAACCGCCGGTGCTGGATAAGGGCAGAACTCACCGCAAAGCTCTTCCCGCACTCGGAGCACTCGTAGGGTTTCTCCCCGCTGTGAACCCGCTGGTGCTTCATGAGCTCGGAGCTCTGGCTGAAGCTCTTCCCGCACTCCGCACACTTGTAGGGTTTCTCCCCGCTGTGAACCCGCTGGTGCCGTGTGAGGGCTGAGCTCACGCTGAAGCTCTTCCCGCACTCACTGCACTCATAGGGTTTCTCCCCGGTGTGCACTCGTCGGTGCTGGATAAGCTGAGAGTTCCCAGAGAAGCATTTCCCACACTCCGTGCATTTGTAGGGCTTCTCCCCTGTATGGGTTACCTGGTGGCGGATCAGTTTGGAGCTCATGCTGAAGCTCTTCCCACACTCGGCACAGGCGTAGGGCCGCTCCCCAGTGTGGGTCCTCTGGTGCTGGATGAGGTGTGAGCGCTGCCTGAAGCTCTCCCCGCAGTCGGTGCAGGTGAAGGGTTTCTCTCCAGTGTGGATCCTCCGATGCTGGATGAGGTTGGAGCTCACCCGAAAGCTCTTCCCGCAGTCCCCACATATTGTCAGTTTCGCCGCAGCAGGATTTCTCTGCTGGATGATATCTGGCAGCCTCCTGAAGCTCTTCCCACGTACCATCACCCTCTTCCCCAGGGGAGGTTTCTGAACCCTTTCTGACTTGTGTAGGTGAGCCAGATCCTGTCCAGGACTGGGAGAGCTCTTCTCCTTGGGAAGTGCTGGCAGTAAACCCTCGGGCTTTGCTGACCCAGGAATGCCCCAGTGGGGATTCTTCTCTTTCTTGCTCTCAATCCCATCCTCAGCTGTAAGAAAATGAGAATCCAGAAAGATGTCACATGCAAGAAAGGAAGCCTTGGACAAGGGAAATCAAAAGGGGCCAAATTCTAAAAATTCAACAGCTTGAATTTAAGGTTAAAACACTCTGATAATCCCCCCCCCCACCTTCTCGGAGGATTTTGCAGTGTTCACAGCGTCAGGAACAAACTCTGGAAATTATCCAGGGCTTACTGTCACATCACAGCTAAAAGCTTAGTGCTCAAATGGAAAAGATAGCTGCTATTCTGGGATATTATATCTAAAAATATTAGAAACTGGACAGAGGAAGGCCATAAAGAACTGCCTCGTGCAGCAGGCACAGGCAAATACCCTCTTACTCACAAAGTCTTAGAGAACCACCACTGACAGAAATCTATGCCACACAGGCTCAAGGTCACTTGAAAGCCTTTCCAGGGCAAGGCGCCTGCAGGGATTTCTAGGGCGTTTATGCAGAGCAGTGACTGTTTCCAGCTCACTACTGAAGTGTGGTTTGATGAGCATCCTAAAAGGATCAAAAACCCGAATCCCTAACAGTGCTGTGGGCTTTGCAGGCTTATACCTTAAACTGGTCAGACAGGAGGGAGAAATGGCAACGTGGATAATTGCAGAATAGCTTAGGCTGGTGGGGACCTTAAAGATCATGCAGCTCCACCCCCCTGCCATGGGCTGGGTGCCAACTACTGGACCAGGCTGCCCAGGATCCCACCCATCCCAGCCTTGAATGCCTCCAGGGATGGATGTATCATCACATAGGTCAACCAGACCAATAGATTGCCATGCGATCTCTACACTTCCAGGGATGACTTGCTGCTGACTATACATAAACTCAAAATATGAAATGGGCTGAGAAGTAAAGCTGCAGAAACAGAGACTTCCAGATTTTTTTCTAAAGTGGGATAGATTTGACTGCTGTTTCCTGATACTCTGAAAACTCTTGTGAAATAAACTGGCAACATATCGGCCCTGTGGGATTGATGCACAAACCACAGATGCTTCCTGTGGTCTGGCAGAGCTGTGATAAGGAACAGTGTGCCTTGGAAGAGGAGAGCCAGTACTGAGTTGTAAGCAGGCAATTAAGGAAGGAGAGTCTACAATTTTTAACCAAACCAATATATGTACCTATTCAATCTTCCTCTTTCTAGTCAGTGTAAGAAAACATCACAATATGATTTCACAGAGAACTCCTAAGTGGTTTTTCATAGCAATCTGGTGTGGTTCCTTCATGGTTTTCATCAATGTAATCCCCTGAAAGAAACAGAAATGGGAGCGTTGCTGTTCACCACGAAGGCGCTTCCATTTGACTGCTGTTACATCCATCCAGGCCTGGAAGAAAAGCGAATGATGATATCCAAAGGGATGACATTTTTGGCAGGCCAGTGTGAAGCTCTTGACCTCTGCATCAGACTTACTTGGGAAAGATCAGAAGTTTTAAGCTTCCTATCACAGTGACTACTGGTATGGCTCCAGCTCTCCATCGTGGAACTTCTACGACCGTTTTTGTCTGATGCCTGACCTATCTGACATCTTCACTGGCACCCAGGACAAGTTGTTTGTAAAAGGTTGAATCAACATCATGATGAGCGGAAGTCACTGGAAGGATGAGCACGTTGAGGAGGTGTCACCGTGTACCGATTCCCTTCTCTGGCATCATCCATTTCTGGCCAGTCCTGGCATCCCTAAGACATGGCTTAGGCTTGGGTCTAAGCCAGCAGGGCTTGCTCATAGAACTTCACAACGCAGCTGGACTCCTGGCTGTTGTACCTCATTGTCAGGTGGCTGGATGTGATGGCAGAGGGGGGCCTTGAGGCAACATGCAGGGAGCGGGAAGCCCAGCAGACCTTCCAAGCAAATGAGCAAAAGCTGGAATAGGAGATTTCGTGACAGATGACCAAGGAAGGCACACTGGGGAAGGGCCAGCACGGCCTTCGGAAAGAGAAGTCTCACCTTATGAACCACAGAGCTCTTCAGAGGCGCCATCTGTTTTAGCACAAGGGAGATGTGGTGTCCAAAAGAATTCCTGAACATTTGCCCTTCATGTGAACTGAAGACGACACGAAGCTGCTACACAAGGAGCGACCCAAAATAACGTGGTGATGGAGGGAAAGGGGAAGAGGAAAGATCTGCTGGTGATTCCATGCCACTCAGGGCCAAAGAGACGAATGCAGACTGCGAGGATCAGAAGGTCAGGGCACTGACCAGCCAGGTGATGGCAATGACAGCTGAACGGAGCTGGGAGGGGGGAAAGCTCTGCACCTTGTGCTGAGCCTGGGCTGATCTCGGTGCCGTGCTGGATCAGCAAACAAAGGAGGTCCACAAGGCACGTGGAGGTGCGGCACGGCCAGCTCCTCCACCCGCCGACAGCCCAGGTTGGTGCAGGCAGAGCCGGACCGCCTTACCTGGGCAGCAGCCGCGCAGAGCCGCCCGCCCCTCGCAGGCACGCAGACGGGAGAACCACCGCTCCGCCTTTGGGTCCGCGTGGGAGATCATGTCCGTCCCCGAGGTCCTGCAGGCGGGCAGGGAGGCCGGCCCAGCTCCGCCCGGTAACGGGGAGCTACAACAGCGGGTCCGACCGGCGCGGGCCTCGGCCACGGCGTCCTCAGCCCCGCGGGCGCTGCGGGACGAACGGCACCGCCAGCCGCCCGGCACGGCCGGCGTGCGGGGTCACGTGACGGCGGCGGCCAATGGCGCGCGGAGCTTTCGCCTCCGAGGGCGGCGGGAAATGGCGCCTGGCTGCCAGCTTTCCTCACCTGTCGGTGTCAGAAGCGTCAGAGCCCAGCGAGGTCCCCAGTGTGACAGAGAGATGCCCTTCACTCTGTCAGCTACTAGCAGGAAAATACAGATGCATCACCTGTGCTGGTGCAGCAGGAACAGAGGTTTCTGTCACATCAGCTGTGTTTCACACTGGCATTTAATGCTTAGGACTCTTCTTGCCTGAAATAAAAGGCAGATCAGCTTCCTAGAGAATTAGTAAGAAGAAAAAAACGAAGGGATCTGGGTGTTTGTGTTAGCACAGGGAGGAAAATATTCACAGCAAACAGTCCTGGCTGCGTGACAAAGACATTGCAGCACAGAGCACTGGGGTTATTTTTCATCTGCCCGGACCTGAGTGACAACTCTGAACCGTGCAAATGATCGAACATCTTCCAAAATGAAAAGTCAGATAGCACAAAAGAAGAACATTTCTAGGAAGGTTTCTGCTAGGTGAACAGCAAACACCCACCCGAGGTGGCATTACAGACACTTCATTGCAGAAGTTCAGTGAATAAGACAAACTTGAAGGCAGGATAACAACCAACTCCTTCCAGGAAGAAATTATCCAAAGGGGATCAAAGCAGAATTTGGGGAATCCGTACCTGGGCTCAATGTCCTGCTGACAGATAAGGACCTACTGGGTGTGCTGTGTCAGGCTGCAGGGGAGCCCTGGGTGCTCAGAGTGGAGATGTGGCCTTTGGTGTTGTATGGTACAATAAGAAAGGGAGAGGTGGGCTTGTGCTGAGCTCAGGCAAGGACTGTGTTAATGTTCCATTCTGAGATGAATGTGTTCAAGCTTTACAAGATGACTGCTTGGGCACTAGAGCAGCTCAGCAGCAGGACGCAAGGCACTCAGGCAAAGGAATACTGCAGGTACCTCTGAAACACTGTTCTAAAGGGAGAGCAGCTGAATCACAGAGACAGCTTTGCTGAAGGCTGCATCGTCTCTCCCAGACACTGCTGTTTCATTGAACAGCAATGCTTATGAACAAGATGTTGTGCAGGAATAATTTAAACTATCACCAAAACTCAAACAAGTGCATTCGAAATGTATTTCCAGAATACATCCAGTCCCCTTAAAGAGCTGCAGAAAGGATTGCTCTCATAATCATCCCTGTGAAATCTAAACATCAGCACTGTGAACATAACAGTTGAAGCCTGCTGGCTCAGTACGAAGGGAAAGCACAGCAGTCCCCCTCTCTGCTTTATATTATTCTCATGTTTTTTATTTAAGTTATCCTCTTGGCCGTGGTGATGGATGATAGCTGCAGAAGAAATACCATTAAGGTGACTTAGGAGTAAGTGGACAGAACTGTGTCTCTATAAGGAAACAGCCTTTATATACAAGATTATTACATTAAACACCTGCAGCACAGCTTTTCAGAAGAAAACCTTTTCAGGCTATTTTTTTTTTTCCCAGCAGGAAATGTGACAATACAGAAAACAACATGGTAGCTGCAAAAGAATATCCAGAAATCCATCATACACACCATTTGGATGCCACAGGGAATTTAGAAGCAGTGTTTTCCAAAGCTCATTCAGCACTTACGCAGTACATGTTGGTGAGACAGGTTTGAGCAATGCCAGTAATATCTGCTTGTCTTTTAACATAAATAAAATCAAATAAATTAAAACCAAAGCTGAAAAGGTATTTTTTTTTTTTCCTGTGACCTTGGAAGCATTAACACAAACAGAAGTATCAGAATATTTTTCATAGATGCTAATACGCAGCTGGAAATAAAAAATGATGACAATGGATTTTCCAAGACAGAGCATACGCCTGCACTGGGTATGTAAGAGACACAGGAATACTTACAAATCAAACTGGCAACACATTATCGCTGGCAGATGGTAACACCAATGTTAGCTGGGGGATGGATACTTTGCTTACAGATTAACAGAGCAGGCAAATGAATAATGGCTTTCACAAAATTTGCAGCGCTTGTCAGATACGTCCTTGTAATCTTGAAGGCTGCAAAAGACTTTAAATCCTTTATCTGTCATCTGAGACAAATTCTAGAACTTCAAGAGACATTTCATCAGCTTCAGAAACAAGAAAGAATCGTGGCAAGCTTCTGCAAAATGGTTATCTCCAAACCCTGACAGCACAGATGAGATACTGAAAATTATCTTTTTACATTAGACAAAACTGCAGAGTTTACAGATGCCGAAGACAGGAGGCTGGAGACACTGCCAGGGGCCAAAATTCTGTTTTGTTTTTTTTTTTTTTCATAGCATGCTCAATGATTTATGACACAATGCTCTTTCTTATATTTGAACAGCTGTAATTTATGTGTATGGAAACGTGACACTGCATCAACTGAATGTCAAGACACAACAAAAAATTGGCTGCAGAATCTTTGATTATAAATATAAGTCCTACTTAAAAACAGCAAAAAAAGCTGGGAAGGAATCACATTTATTTTCCTGTACTAAGACCAACAAGTATCACTGAAGCCTTTTCTGAATATGAAGTATCTGCTTGGGAGAAACACATGGTACATAGAGGGGAACATTTCCTAGATTGCCTCTTAAAGGCAAGCCTTGATCTTTTTATCTAATAAAGTCGTCACACAGCAGCTCTTGCACAAGAAGATGGGGGAGCAAAAGTGATGTGACTGCCAGGGAAGAAAACTACCCCGAATTCCTGAAAATTCACAAGAGATGGCAGAAAGTGTTGCTTGAAAGTCCCTATGCCATCACACATGCCACAGCCAGACCTGATAGAGCAGGAAGGTCACAGGCCCTCTATGGTTACCCTTCTCCTGCAGCCCTCCCTCCAAGGCCAGACCCATCCCCACAGCCCTCTTGGAAGACCCCCACACTTTCTGCTGCCCTCCCTGCAGTCTCCCTTACCTTTGGGTCACACATTCCTGACGTCCTGTGCAGCTCGTCTCTCTCCAGGTCACCAATCCATCATTCATCAGCCAGTGCAGGGTGATCTCTGCCAGTCCACTTCCCTGTGCTGCAGGGCACCTGTCACTCATCCTCCAGGTTTTTTTTGCTCAGGTTTTGATCAGCACAGGCACAGAGTGCAGAGCTCCTCCTGCTCTCAACCAGACCCAATGTTTCTGCTTAGAACCATCCCCAAAAGTCCCTCAGAAGACATTACTTACAGCTTAGCATTATTTCCTTCCAAATTGTTTATTGTATATAAATCAAATAAAACCAAGGCAGTGCTGTATCAAATAATAAAATAAAAAAGTATGTTCCAAATACATAAATACATTCAGAAATCAAGCTTTTTCTTTTTTTAATTATTGTGTCTGTTTTGCTGAGTGAGACTCTGCAGACTCAGAACTGTCAGAACAGAGAAAAATCCAAAGGTGTTGTAAAAGTTAATAAATAAGATGACTATTTAGTGTCCAAGACTTCCTCAAGAGTCCCAGACAGTTTCCAACCAAAGATCAGTCCAGTTTGGAAATGACAAGACAGATCCACAAAGAGGGTTTAGATCAGGGTATGAGAACTGCTTGAGAGATCCATTGGTCACTATAACACTGTCTTTTTAAAAACGTCACTGTCGGGAACATAGTCAAGCTAGAATGACACAGTAGAACAGTACTCAGAAAATGGAGCTGGTAATGTCTTTAGCACCAATCTCAGCATGCAAGTGAATATACACAACTGAACGTTCAAACCTTAATGGCTTCTACATGATGTAGCCACCACAAATAGACCAGAAAAACACCTGCCACTGTTCTGCAGCCACTTATGAAACACACATGAGTTATTCCACTCAATACTGGAACATATTGGAAGGGCAAAGACCTTGGCAAGTACCACTGGAGGGAAGCAGCCATCTCAGAAGCACCAACAAGAAGAGAAGCTGGGGATCTAAAACCTACTAAAATGGAAAGACAAGAGAACGCACAGGATGAAAATCGAAGAACATAAAAAGGCTCTTGAAAGAGGAGCTTGTGCAGCTCAGAGGAGAGCTCTGCTGAGAGCAGCTCAGTTCAGACCCATTCTCCAGCATGTCATCTGGACAGCAGGCCACAAGGAGGAGCAGTGCACCCACCGATCACACCACCTCTGCCAGCACCAGCCTGGAATAGGGTTTCCACCTTAGGAGGAAGGCCTCCTCCATGAAGGAAATTTTCAGGATAGAGGAGTGAGATCCATTCAGTATCGTTTCCTCTTTTTTTTGCTCCCCTTCCTCTTCTGTTCCTTCTCTTTCCGGGCTCCAGCTGTGGTAAAGGTGATGCACTGAGCATCTAAGAAGTCTAGTAGCTTTGCCTTGGAAATCTTAATGCCATTCAGTTTCAATTCTGCGTGCAGGTCAGCCAGCTCAATAGGCTCATAGAAGAGAATCCTGTCGTACAGGGCTGGGTTTGAGCGGATGTAGCACCTCACTGCCTCCAGTTTTTCTTCTTCCCGAGCTGCTGCCTGGGATGCTGGAAGTTCTTCTTCCTCCTCTTCAGATGCAAATGCATAGGCCTCCAATTCCTTCACAAAAGAACTAAAAAGAAGGCCAAGTAGACCCGAAATTCAAATAAAGAACAAACCACAGGGACAGAACCAGAGCTCCCTAAGTAGCTGGTGGCCAGCCCTTGTGACTACCATCTGTAGGATCATAGATTGATACCAGTACACATGCTGAGTGAAGAACAAGGCACATGTTCTACAAACTTTCCCATTCCAGCCATGACAGCTCCAGTCCTGCTCATTGAGGCCTGGAACTGGCTGGCAGTCCTTGCTTCTGACCCACAGCACCTACAGCTGCTGTACCACGGCCTTCTCTGCTAAGTACTGCTGTGCTCTCCTCTCCCTATGCCAAATGCAGCTCTCAGCCAATGCTGCTTGTTGTGACAAGCAGTGACTGGGCATGCCAGATGTGGGCCTTGCCTACATGTGGCCTCAGCCACAAGCTTTTGTGCTCTGTGAATAGCTCACTGGGATTTAG